AGTGGGTGCTGGGACAGGGTGCCAGGGGGGAGACAGGGTGCCAGTGGGGGCAGGTGAGAGGGGACAGGGTTCTGCAGCAGGGGACAGAGCACCAATGGGGGCAGAGAGTCCCCTGCACCCGCTCCTCCCACCTGCAGAGGAGGGAAGCCCTGGCACATGCCTCCCCCAGGGACGACTCCGAAGCCATGGTGTGCACCAGCTCTGGGGACTCCGCCCCTCCCCCCACAAGTTCCCAGCACACCACAGACCTGGGGGAGGGGAGCAGCCAGCACACTTCTGGAACCCCCGGAAGTGGTGCGCAGCTGCAGGATTTCTGTCCAATCCGCAGGAAGCCGGCACTACCTCCATTGTCGCTGGAGGTAGGTAGCGGGGCTTCTTGAGGTTGGGGGCCGAACGCCTGGCGATCGACTGGTCGAGCCCTCACGTTCCACCAGTCGATTGCGATTGATGGGTTGGTAACACGGCCCTAAGGGTACTCGTACCACTGGTTGAGAAACGCTGGTCTAGCATAGGGTATGTCTTTCCCATTGTGTCTGACTTGTCATAGGGGAGGACTGTGAGATGAATGAATTTACCATTTCTGCAGAATATCTGTGTGATACTGTCCATTTGTTTTAAGTGTGAGCCTGAATCATGAGTCTCCGAGGGTATGTCTACACTACCCTCCTAGTTCGAACTAGGAGGGTAGTGTAGACATACCCCCAGTTATTAGTGCCACACTGTCATAGAACAATTTTACATTGAAGCTGGAATAAGAACTTAAAAGCAGGTAAGGAGTTGCAGAATTCAGTGTGGGAAGGATTTTCGACTTAGTTAACAATAGTGTGTTGGTGATGTGGTGGTTTTGTTTTTGTTTTCTCCATCCCAAACAATGGTGTTCTATGGCTAGCAGTATTACTCTTTTACTGTTCCAGTGGTCATTCATCAATGATCTTGACAAGCTACAATGTTTGCAGTCACTTAAGTGTCAGAATAACCCTTTGATGAGGACAGAGAAGTATCCAGAGACAGTGAGGCAGCTTATCATTGCCAAAATAGGTCAATTGAAGGTTCTGAACAAATCTGAGGTATGTGGTGTGTTTTTGTTTTTTTTTCCAACTAATCACACACAGGGCTCTGGAAAAAGTGTCTCTGTAAAAGCATGTGGGACTGTGGGAGGAGGGTGTCTCAATCAGTGCATGTGTGTATCTAGAAACTTTCACTTTGAAAACGGGGAGAGTCAGGAAACCCTGATTCTGTTTTTGGCTGTGCCATTAACTTCTTGTAACCTTGAGCAGGACACATGGGATACATTTTTCAAAAATCCGAAGTCTTATTTGTTACAAATAGATCTTTTCCCCACAACATAGGACTTTTGAGTTAAACAGAATAATTGAAAGTAGCTTCCATTTTTTTTCTGGGACGTTGAAAATATAGAGAACTTGCAAAACCCCATGACTTATTCTACAATTAAGAAATCATTGTGCTCTTTAAGCTTTCATGCCTCATGCTGTTTTCAGACTTGGCACAAACATCATTGAATAAACTGCGTTTGAATCAGTTGTGGGAGTTGAGATTTTTTTCTGGAATCTTTGCAGTTTTATAAGGTGCTGAACGCATACACAACTACTATCTAGGAATCTTGACGTTTAAAGGATCCTGAACTTCGGTGGTTTGGAATTGTAGTTTAGTGACACTGTGTTTTGTACTTGTCAGTATAGGTCTTTCCTGATGAAAGAAAGGGAGCAGAACTTGACTATCGCAAAAAGTTTGGCAATGACTGGCTAGCAGCTGGTGGAAATCAGAATCCAGATGAAAACAAACCAAATGCGGAATTTCTTGCTGCCCATCCTAGGTACCACTTACTCTGCCTTAGTAAGTACAGTGGAGGTGAAATGAAGATTTCCTTGTTTTTAGTGTACAGTATGTCCTTTTGTTTGGGGGCCTTGATTTCCACCATAAAACAGTCCTGTGCTGTCTGAGCAGTCAGCCTTGTCCATTTTTAAGGATCTGTTTATAGCCCACCTGTCTAACAGGACATTCTGGTCCATTTCTAGGGGTCTTTGGATAAAACCAGACATACTGTGTCAGACCAAAGGTCCATCTAGCCCAGTATCCAGTCTTCTGACAGTGGCCAATGCCAGGTGCTTCAGAGGGAATGAATGGAATGGATGGTTATTCATCAAGTGGTTGGTCTCTTGTCGCCCATTCCCAATTTCTGGCAAACAGACTAGTGCCATTTGGAGCATGGGTTTGTAGCCCCGTCCTTCTTAATGACTGCTAGTAACTGTCTCCAGAAACTTCAGCCAAAGGAGCGCTCCACCAAGCTAGAGGTGTGATCCTATGCCCCAGAGGGAAGTAGATGAATTTCATTTAAGACCAGGATGGGGAACCTTTTTATGGGTTGGGAGCCCCTGACCCACAGAAAAATAACTAAAACCCAAGAAATCCTCACTGATGTGACCCCTGACTAAGACAATTCCCCCACATTCCCCTTACACACCAGAGGCTAGGGGCCCCAGGCTACTAGATTGTGTGCTTCAGCCCTGGGGTGGGGCTCAGGGGCTGGATACAGGCAAGCTGGGAGCTGCATCCAGCCCCTGGGCCTGAGATTTCCCACCCCTGTTTTAAGACAAGGCGATTCTGTAGTTAATCAGATGTCTTCTGATTCCTTCAATATGCAAACAAATTTTATTCTTCTATTTCCCATTAAGTAAGTAGCTCTTTGTTCCACTTTTTGTCCCTATATATAAGGGCAGTGTCCTAATCCTGTTCTATCCAACTACATCAAATACAGGAGAGGCTGCCTTCTCAATCAGTTTTTCAGCTTGTAAAAAGATTTAAGTCCAGTTCCTCAGACTGAAATTGTAATTTTTAAATTACATTGAATTGTCTTGCTGTTATATTGCAACCTTGACATTTCTGCAGTTCCTTGGCCCTGCTTTACCACTATCTTCCTATTTGGTTTTCTTTAATTAGTCCATAACATTTTTCAGATGTATATTGTTATAAGTACAGGAGCATGCTAGCCACAGCTACAGAGGAACTAGGGCTCCTCTCCCTGCAACTAAGAAATGGTGTGAATGGAAAAGAGTTCTGCTGTTTGACTTTTTAAATGCCCAATATTTAAGTTGTTGTTCCATGGTAAAAAATCTTCTCCGTTTTAGGCCTACGAAAGCTCATTATAGACTAACAAAACATGTAGATGATATCAAGTGCTACCCGACCCCATTTGTTGTTTTTTCCTAATTAATTTTGTAATAGAATTATTGGAGCCCAGCTACTGAGCTCCTGGACTGTGGAAAGCAGGAGCGTTTACCCCTATAGAAGCATAACAGTGTGAGAGAGGCATTAGAATTTTACATTCATTGCATGATCTGGATACCTATGTTGTCCCACAGACTAATTATAAGGAAGTTTTTGTATATGATGACTTATTGCTGTAGATATTTCAGCTAAAATTATAACTTTTTCATCACTAATCTAGTTTGTTGTTTGTGTTTTTCATGAACAGAATACGGTTTTCCTGATGAAGGTGAACTGAAACAACAGCAGCCTTTCTTTCTGAAAAATCAGCTACTAAGTAAGAGACCAGAAACTAATAAAATATGTTTTGCATTTAAAATATAAATCATACCAAGCAGTCCCTCTGGAACAGTAAGAAAAAAGTACTTATTCCTTTTTGGTGTATAAATTGGCTTCAAAGGTACTAAGTACAGTGCTCAAAAATTGCCTTCCAGTTCATGGTGAATACCTTCCCAGGGGAAAAAAAGTACAGGCTGAAATTCTAATCCGGACTTCCCTAGTGACTCCCTTCCCTGCTGACCCTTTGGGGCCAGGAGCACTGCCAGAGAAGGAATTTACCTTCCTCTTGCCCCCTGTGCATCTAGTCAGGCTGGATCAGTCAGGTCCCAAGGGTGCTGGACACAGGGAGATTCAACCTGTAGTTGAGGTTGTATATATGGGTACGTCTAGACTACATGCCTCTGGCGCCAGAGGCATAGGAAAATGAAGCGGTGACTTAAATAATCGCCGCTTCATTTAAATTTACATGGCTGTGGCGCTGAGCGGCTCAGCGCAGGGGTCGACATAAAAGGCATTTGTTGACCTCCTAGGTGTGCCTAATGGGTAGCCTTCAGACTTGATCAGAAAATGATTTGGGATTTCTGTCCAGAGCAGTTCCCTCATTTTGCTGACTTCCTCAGAAAATGATTTGGGATTTCTGTCCAGAGCAGTGGATTCCTCCTGCCCATTAGAAATCAAAGTATGTGGAAGTTTAACCTGCCAAGGTTTTACATGTAATTGATTGGCAGAAGGGCATCTATATTTAGACTTTGTTAAATCTGCATTTTCATTGGGGGCTTAAGAGGGTGGCAGTTTGGGTTTTAGCTTTTGGGGCTATTCATTCCCAAATTATTTTTTTTCCTCATGTCCCTCAGGGGGAGAGGAATGACTTTGGAACATGTGATTCTTTTTTCACATCTTGGATGACATGTTCACTTAAGTTAAAATTTCCTGCCAAGTGCCCAAAGGTTTTATGCAAATTGTATTAATGCTTAAGCAGAAATTATGGAATTGTGCTCAAACTTCAGTTACACTTATTGTGACTGACTCTCAATTTTTTTTTTAAAGCTTTGACAATTAAATGTCCTGACAAACCTGATCAGAAACCCATAGAGAAGAAACTACCAGGTAAGAACATGAATGTTTGCTTGTTTTGGTGCCACAGCAGATGCTTTGTGGTCTTTTAAAAATACTTTTAAATACTCCCTTTCCCACCTATCAGCAGCATTCTGAAGCAGCTGCCTGTGGTTTTCTTCAGGAAAGACCAGCTGATGCTAGTTTTTGGTTGAGTTACTAGTAAGATTATGGAACCTTTCAAACTGGAGATTACTGACTTTGACCCAATTACATGGAAAACAAGTTTATATTCGGTCCTAGCGAACACCTACACATCACATGACTTCACTGGCCACTCAATGCCAACTTATGAACTGACATTGACTGAGTCGTGCTTATACCTCTGTCAAAGAGGAGGAGGAGAAGAGAGAGAGCCTGGATAACTGGCAGCCCCTCTGCATTTGAAAAAAATAGTTTGGGTTTGACTCCGGTGCGGACAAACAAATGCTAATTATACAGAGGTAAATGTGATAGATGGCTGGAAGGCCATTAACATATATGGCGTCCTAGAAGTGAAAAATGAAAAAAAAATTAATCATATACTTTGTGTAGTGATATAGCCTAGATTAATTCCCATATTTGGGGAGAGGAGGGGAGGGTTTCAGTCTCTGAGCACTAAAGTAAATCATTCTCCAAGTTAGAATTGGGTTTCATTATTATAATGGAAGGAGATTCTGCAGAAATAGACATCTGACTTTGAGGAAAAGGTTTTAAACTGGAGTGTTTTCCTGCTTGATTCTTTATATGAACTCAAGACTTTAAACCAGTTTGAGGGTCTGAATTCTACTCACCTAGCTGGCAACAGTTCTTCCCTTGACATTTAAACACATGCATACTAAATATCTATTAAAAGATGTTTGAATTTGTTCTAAAGAAAGACTGACTCAGTTTTATTCTAAAATAAAAACCACATTTATTATTACAAATGGCATAAAATCTGATACAGCTTTTACAAAAATGCTTAATAGAAAAATAGTTTTCTAAGTACTTTAGGTGATTTTTTTTCTGTAAAAGCACACATTGTTGTGCACCTTTAGATAAAGCTTCAAAGAAACTGTAAAAAAAAAATCCAATATCTTTGTACCAGACACACACAATGGTAAATCTCTCTTGTACAAACTAAACAAAGTTCCATTACAGAAATAATGCCTTGTCACTTTATATTATGAACTAATTCATAACACTACTAGCAGTTTGTTTGGAACTAATTAATGTAATTAAGTTCTAAAACATACATTAATTGTTCCCAAATGATACACATTTCTTTGGCACCAGGGGATCAAAACTTCCCCAGCACAAAGAAAAGAGTAAGATGTATAACAGAATAAATCATGAAGCTATAACTCAGTTTGGTATGTTGGATGAAAATACTTTTAGGTAGTAGCACATTAACAACCAGTTACTTATTAGTCTAATCTATGAAAGACAATGAAATTGATTCAGAAAGAAACATTTGATCTGGTATAAGATGCTAGGCTGCAAGTACATAACCACATTTCTGTGTTAAATACTTAATTTTTCTTGACAGATTCTATGACTGTTCAGAAGGTCAAAGGATTGCTATATCGTCTACTTAAAATTCCCGGTTCAGAACTGAAACTGTCCTATGAAAGTTCTAAAGTAAGTTAAAGCTAAAGTAATTGGTTATGCTGTTGAAGGTGTACACTGCATTCTAAAATATTATATAGAATGAAATAGATTTCACACTCTAAAGTCAGAAGCTCTTTTAGGGCCTTAACCAACTCCTTTGGGCTTGAAAGATTTCCAGGGGGAAATTCCCAAAAAAGATTTGCTCCAGTGTGTATTTCAAATGAGCCTGATCAAAATCTGATTATTTTTTTTCTTCTAGATGGAAGGCAAAGAAATTGAACTAGAAAATGATTTAAAGCCCTTACAGTTTTACTCTATAGAAAACGGAGACTGTATGTTAGTACGGTGGTAACATTTTTTTAAAGTTGCACAGTGCTGATCAGTCCAAGTCTACCCCAGGAGAGCATCTACACTTTAATATATTTAAATGTTAAACATGGATTTTATGGAGAGCTATTTGAAATAATGTTCCTAACTCCTGCATGTATATTTGCAATAAAAAAAATAGTATATATTCATTTACTTGAGTTTATTAGAAGCGTATAATTTCAAAGGTTCTTATAAGTCCCTGATTAAAAGAAATAGCATATGGGTTTTCTTCAAGTTTTGTTCTACACTAGTGAGACTTTTTCTCAATCAGAACATGTAATCTGAAAATCTCATCTCTGACATTTTCATTTGTAATCTCTTTTGGAGCACTTTAAGTTAATGTAACACTTCTATATATGTAGAGGTACCTAGAATGGTGTGTGGAAAGTTTAGATCAGTGTCTTTTCCAGAAACTATGGATATGTAAATAGGATACAGATCTGTCCTAGAGAAAAAAGATCACAGTTAAGACTAAGCTGCTGAAGTGGAGGATTTATTCAAAATAACTTGTCAGCATATTGCAGAGCTATGCAGTTTATTCTCCATATTATTGGTATGTATGTTGCTCAAACATCTTTTATTTAAGCTATTCTAGCTAGTCATAGTTACCTGAAAATGTAATCTCTTTAAATATGGTTATATTATTTGCTCTAGTTTAAGATTTGGTATAAGCAAAGTTTGATATTTTGCATCATTCTCATCCAAATCACTACAAAAAAAATACACAAACTCAATATAAATTCTAAAAGCTAACTATCCTAAGCCCCCATGAGCAAGTATCATTTACACCCCTCTATTTCCCCCAGTTTGCAGTCTTAGGTTGTGAAATCTGTGCCAGCACATGTATTTAATTTAACTTTGCTTGCACCTGCTGACTCTCACAAATAGCAGTGGTTCTGTACCAGGGTCAGATCAAGGCCTCTCATGATTCTAATAATACACATTTAACAAGTAGAGCTCTAGATCTTTAACAGGCTAGTTTGAATTCACATGTGCATTAAGTCCTTTATAAAAAAGGAAATATCTTAAACTTCTGGTTTTGTCAAACTAACACTTACCCTATAGAAAATGCTACTCTGGACAATGTCTGTCCATTTGTCAAAAGGCATGGGCAAAAATATGAATTACAATTTCAACTATAAAACACCACCTTAGTAGTCCTGATTGTGGTAGCTCACAAGTCTTTATCATCTTTCCTCACATCTACAAGGATCGCCGCACAATTCTTTTACTTCCCAAAGCTCTGTTAGTTCCTGTGGAGAATACTGAGGGGATGATAGCATTCCAGTTTCACATGTCTTCTCACACAGCCACAGGCTATCCTGTTAAAGACAATGATTTCATTAGGCTTTGCTTACAACAATTTTTCACACACTATATATTAAAACTAAGTTTCTGTAGACAGGGAAACTTCTAGTATCAACAGGGGCAGAGTTTCCTTGTCTAGGCATACCTGAAGTCCCACTCTCAGCTTTGCTCTTAACCGTGCGAGTGAAATTTTCAGCTGCACCATTCTTCTGCCTGGAGAGTACAACACTTCCAAACTTGACCTCTGCTACAAACTTACATGAGTGCAAGAGACACAACTGTAGCTTAAGATGAAAAACATGACTCTGATTGCAGAGGATAGTTTCTACAGGTGAACGTTTTGTTTGAAAACAAAGTATATCCAGGTTGGTTTATCTTAACTGAGTTAGTGTAAAGCTACTGAGAACAAAGGAGGAAGTTGTTTGTCTTATATGACAGCTCAGGATACTCCAAAGTACAAAATGTCACATTAACCCAGTTAACTTTTGTTCTGTATTACTGCTTGGTATGCTCAAGGAAAGCTCTCTGGGGTAAGGATTATAAATAACTGACATTTTTTGAAAAGGGCCCAGATAACAGGGAAGATTTTATCAACCTGACCTAGCCATTCAAGATCCATTACATCAATAGGGAATGAGATGCAGGAACACTTAAAAAAAGAGGATCTGTAGGATGTATATAGAAGATAGTTTAGATGCTCCTTGTTACCATCTCAGTACAAGACTAGGTGGTATGAAACTGAAAGGCAACTCAATGAAAACTGATAACCTATGGAACAAGCTGCCCATGCCTTTGGCAGGAGTAAGAGAAAGGATTGCATATGCATAGGGACAAGATCATCATAAATTGCCTCAATTTGTTTTAATGTGGACTGTAAGCTTGCAGATGCATCAGGGCACAAGCCAGTCCCTGACTGATAGGTAGTCCTGTGGGTCAAATAGTTTCATAGTGGTCTGAAATATGTATATGTGGGTGGGGTTAATATTTACCTCAGCCACTAATAATCTATACACCAAGAAAGATTTTGTCCTCATTACTTAAAATTTGACTGAAATGTTTGTATATTGAAGTGCTCATGTGGATTAAAAAAAATCCCCATCTGAGACTCTTGTGTATGCATTAATTTAAATAGCT